CGCCACTGAAAGTACGATTCCCGCCACTTAACTAACCTCACCCTCTAACGAACTGTGTAATTGAACGTGCAAATAATAAAAATATATGTAAATTTCAAATACAAATTATTTCTAACATCAGGAGTAAATTTTGTTGCTCTTCTAATACGGACGTTATTTGAATAATGGTTATAAATATTATTGTAAAACAATAAAAAAATGTAATAGATAACAAGAGGAAGGGTTACAAAGTAATGCTATTTATTAATTTTTTACCGACTTCCTAAAAGAAGGAGGTACTCAATTCGTCTGTATATTTTTTTATGTGTGTTACGGCATAATTTATGATACGAGTACGGTTTCTAAACTTTACCTTTAAACAGTAGTGGAAACGACCACAGTCAAATCGCAAGCACGATGAAAGCCTATTGTCGGTTAGCGTGTACGGAGGGCCCTTGCGCCGAACACCGTGTAATGTTTACATTTACAACGTGTTAGATCTAATTATAGTGAGATGCGCTTGCAACACTCGAGTCACGACCGAAACCTTCGTTCCAATCATAGATTCGGTTAACATTGTTCATGCAACTTTCAATTCTAATTAGAATCTCGGCTTCCATATAAGAAAATCTATATATAACAATATGCTTACTTCTTTTTTTCATAACGGTCACAACTGACCATGAAAGGAACATTTACTATGACAAAATTCACTATTTTTATCCAGTACTGACTTTCGCCCGCGACTTCGTCCGCGTGGAATAAAAACAAACAAAAGTGAGTAACCTAAGTGTTCTTCCAGACTATCCTCTACATCAATGCTAAATTTCATCGAGATCCGTTCAGCAGTTTAGGCTACAAACTCCAATAAACATCCATCTATCGATCTAAACTTTCGCATTTATAATATTAGTATGAAGTATGAATAGCTTTTGTCAATTGCAATGTTCAACCAATTTTAATAGGTCGACGTCTGTTGGGTCAGTTAGTTATTACATATATAACATTTTATGTTTAACTGCCGAAAATTGATATGCGGTTTCGACGTTTGACGTATTTAAAATATGCGGGCAAAAGTCCAATAACTGGTATTTAAAATTGAAACTAATTGATTTGTTTTAATTTATCAAACAAAACTATGCGAATCCGTTTTCATACACTGAGTGTGTGAGTGAATAATAGACGTTACTTAGTGTTGATTTCGTAAATAATATCAAGATTGCAGGACTGCTTCATTAAGTAACATAGGAATTTGGAGACCATTGAATGTTGAAATCCAGTTAATTTCTAATTTAAGATCCGTCGCTGTATGTGGTATAAAAACAGAAAATTTCTTACATTCGGAGAGACAACATGCCACAAATTGCAGGGAGTCAGGGACCCCCTGCTACTACGACGTCGCAGGGGAACTCATATGGAATGAGGGTCGGCAAATTTTATTAAAGGATTTACCCCGTCGGGAAAAATGTATTAAGATAAATTGATCCCAACGTACTTCGTAAACATTCGTCTAAAACAAACGTCTTATCAATTATTTATCAATGGCATTATCAAAATTATAGTTAGCGTGCTCTTGAGTAATTAACAGGTAAATTCGTCTGCTAATTAAACGATTACATACACTTTTGATTATTTCAAATTATTGTAGTTTTACTTTTAATTTTACGCGCGGTTCATATAAAGTACATTTTTAATTTTATGATTCCAAGACAAGAACTCTGTTTCATGAAGCACATCCTTATTAAAGACCATAACTTTCTCATCGTATCAACAATTAAAAACAAAAATAAATGAGAACATGTGCTGGGCATATAGTTCGTGGGGTCAGGCATAGGAAGTGCGCATATGTAATTGCGGCGAATGGACACAATGGGGGGAATTGGCCAGAACGTCAATTGTAGTGCGAGCGACGCGCCCATTGCCCATTGATTGAATGAACGACCAAATTCAACAAATAACAAAAAGCAACGAAGCGTAAATGGTTTGCGAGTCACAAATGCATTCGAATATCGTGATAAACGTCGTAAGACCACAGCAGAAAACCTACTGCGATGTACTGTTTAAGTAACAAAGATGGAATCTATTTCACAAAGCGTAAAAGTAAAATATTCATGAATATATATTGTATTGAAAGTATCTTAAAGAACGAAAGATCAACAGAATTAGTATTATCCAGACAAGATATTGGGTTTGAAAAACTTCTATCACAAACATCTTCGATCTAATTTAAATTAAAATCTAATACTGGATATTTCTAAAGGAAGGATCATAGTCAATCACGTGTCAAATAATATGAAGGCGTTATGGAACACCGCCTTAAGCAATCACTCACCGAAAGTTTGTTGAACTTTGTTATAAATTCGATAGACGTTTATCTCACTCATTTAATCAATATGGCTTAAGCTTTAACTCCGTGTAGTGCCTATCTTTTATATTGATTCTGGCTGTGCGTGTTTTGACACCGGATTTCCAGATTTAACGCCAAGCACACTTTGGCATTGTGAGGAAAAACTATTAGCTTTGTATTTAGATAACTGTTTGTTTTATTTGATGCAAATGAAGCCATCCGTAACTAAAAGAATTCAGTTCGTACTATTTCTTACATTACGCATTTTTTCTTGAATTGGTAAGCAAAATTGTTACGAAGTGGTACGCTATCACGAAGCGTAAACAGTGAAATAATTTGTTACAATCTAAATGAATTTCGAGCTCAACATCCCCTCAACTAGGTACATGGCCCGGATATGCCAATTCCGAGTCGACGCGCAAAACGTCATGCCGGCATCTTATTCAATTATTGATTTAGAGGAACGGAATATGTCGCACCTACTACTGCACGTTGTCATAACCTAAATCTGAAACCGACGGTGCTATTTCCGTCTTCAACCGACGACTGACATTTGAAATCTATGAGGATATTTATATCTATTGATATACGTATTTGTAGCTTCTATATTTGATAGTACTTATATTGACACAGAGTAGAAATTAATATAAATCTCGTTTAGCTATTTCTGTTTCATCCCCATGTTCACTTAACCTTAAAAACAATTGTTATTTACTGTCATTCGACATTATTCTTATAGTAGAGTAGTTATTTTCTAGTTATAACCTATAAGGAGTTCTTATAATATTAAAATGAGCGTGCAAGCACGCGACGATGGCAGGTAAATAGCAATATCTAAACATGACTGGAACAGGGTCTGCAGTCCATTTACAATGCATTTTGCGTCGCAATTTCATCTATCTTGTGGCATTAAAGTGTCTCCCTGATCCCACAGTGTTTGTTTTGATCGATTACCCCTAGTAATCAGAAAACTACTTTTTTCTATTACCACAACGTGAAAAGTCATCCGTTAAATTAATTTTGCAAGACTATTATTTTCGTTCTACGTTAAAGGTGCACCTACTGTGAAAAGTGCATTGTAAATTAATTTGCCAATGGCAAGCTTTTGAAGAGAAATGTGTCAAAAGGAGCTTTGTATAAGCAACTTTTGACATGGTTTCCAACTCTTTTGTCGTTTGAATTAAGTATTCGTTAAATAATTTAATGAAATGAATAACGACCCCTTTAATATTTTTGTAACAACGCAGTGTGGGGATATAGACTTATATCATACTATTATTATAAAGAAGAAAACTGTGTTTGATTATAATTAATAGGCTCAAAAACGACTGGACCGTTTTTTAAAATCCTTTCACTATTTGAAAGCTACGATATCCACGAGTAACTAAGTCTAAATTTCTTTAAGAAAAAGTTATTGGCGGTGGGAGCCGCGAGCAACTGCTAGTTTGAAATAAGTTGATTAACAAAACATTAATGATCTAGGTTCCAATGTTCTTTAATTATTAAATGCAAATACACTACAATTAAGAACAGTAATAGTTTATCGAATGACCACAGTAACATTTAACCCGAAGTTTACATACACAGCTACTACTAAACTTATCAGAACCTTTGGTTGACAAACCATCTTTATATCAAGATTAATCAGCTGGGTATAGTACAAAAAACTACAGAATACTTCTGATCTATTAATGCAATACGAAATGGTTACACTTGTAAAGATAAATGTATGAAGATAATGATATATTAGTCTGATAACCGTGGTATTAAAGCGATAGAACACTTTTGCAAGCTAAGAAAAAGCGTGAACATCTATAGAGCGATATTACATTCCATCTCTAAATGTCGTGATCTCCGGCGTGTAGAATCGACAAGGCATTCGGGGCCGTGCGACAGGTCTCTGATTTTCAACGCATTCTGTACTTAGCTTGTCGCTACTACTTTGTTTTGCTATCGATACTTTTTGCATTTTAAAGATTCCGAGAAAATGAATAGAGTACTGATTACGCATTGCGTTTATTATAATTTTGTTTAGCAGGAGCTTACTCTTACATATAATATTCTATTTGACACCGAAGTAAAAGTTATTTAAATCATAAAACAACTTATTGTAATTAAATAAAAACTATCAAACAATTTGTATCATTTGTAAAAAAAAGTTGCTAAAAGTAATAATATGTCATTTTTGTTCGGATATTCGGTATATTAAGCCATCTTATGATCGTCACGGAGCTCGGAGCATAACAATCGGAATTACGCTACGCTCGAGTGGCTCATTCTCTATGACAGGTGCTGCCACCTGTCACCTTCCTTTACATTAACGCAATAAAGTTTTAGTAAAATCATAATTAAATATCTTTATTTATCTCAGATCTACAGTGGCTAAAAGATGAGCAAGACATATTTTAAAAAATAATAGGTACCAATCATAAAACTCGACACTTAGTTAAGATAAAATCGTCCTTAATAGTTTCTATAAATAAACACTCTTCGCTCATTAACCGACCCCATCTTGGGTAGAGATAACTTTAATTAACTTTTCGTGCATGTGTTACTTTGAAAATAAAATACAACTAATTTTTTTCCTAATCACAAATAAAAAAAAATAATAATTTTCCTACAACTACGAGTATACATTGACTTAACTTATAACTTAAATATGTAAACAACTTACCTCCATTTCCAGCGTTGGTGATAGTAACCCAAAAGTCGATCGTTTTCTCAGGCCCCAATTCCTCATAGTCCCACTTCTTTTTAACTTTCACTACACCACTTGGTTCAACAGTGACCCACGGATTTTCGTCCCGAATTTTAAATGTTTCGCGGTCGGTTTCCTTTTCGAGAGTGAATACCGCACGTCCTTCTACTTCTCCATCAGCCTCAGTGAACTCAATACGCTTGGTCGGTCTCACCGCTCGTGTGACACGGCGCTTTTGACGACGCAATGATGGAAGATCTTTTTTACTACGAACGACGAATTCTAGAAAGACTTGAGCCGGTCGACTTTTACGCGGCGGCGAGCCCGTATCATGAGCAAGTACCTCTAACTCAGCTTCGTGGCCGTCAGGCTCTCCCGCTAGAATCAATTCTCCTGTTTGTGGCACAATAACGGCCAAGTTGCTGGGTGTTTTCAATGAGTAATACACTCGATCTCCGTCGCCATCAAAAGCACGCACTTTGCCAATATTTGAAAACCTTTGCCAATGTGCTGTTGCGTTATCACTGTTTTGATCCAAAGTTCCATTGACGGCAAAATAATAAATGTCCTGCTCAAAAATAGGCTCGTGATCGTTCTCGTTTGTTACATCTATTCTGACACCAAGGTTCGCTTTGTTTCTTCCCGTCAAATCTGTCGCTTGTAATGATAAATCATAAGCGTTTTGAACCTCTGCGTCTAATGGCCTCATTGCTATTATTTCCACATCTCCGTCAGTAATAACTGATGCGACTGCAGGCACGCCGGTCTTCGTTTTTTCGCGCAAGGCGAATAAGGAATCTTCATTGCCATTTATTATTTTGTACGCTACAGGACCCACATTAAGAGGAGCTGCAGCTTTTATAAGCGGTAGATCTACAGCGGTACCAGGCGGCGCATTTTCTAGAATTTCACCGCGAAGCCCGTTAGTCCCAAAACTAAGCATTTTTCTACGGTCTACTACAAGGAGGTGTACCGAATGAGCAGCACTGCTGAATGGAGTCTGTTCTAATACGGCGAGGTTCAAGGCTTGATCGAGTAGTGGCGCCAAATCGGCAGTGGTCATCAGGAGGCCATCATCGAGGAGTGTAAAGTAGGGTGCGTACTCGGGATCCAGTAAGGTGTAGCGGGAGTAGTTTCCTTCGAAGTGACGTACGGCATGGCCAGGGCGGACGTCGTGTGGAAGCACCGTGAGCGCACTTGTCTCAAGCGCCGCGCTGAGCACGCAGAGCAAGGCCCCGCTCGCCAGCACAAAGCGTGCCATGGCTCTGACTCCAAGATCGATTGTCTTAACCCAACATTTCCACCTAAAACAAATATTTCAATAATTTTAATCACCAAACAATACAAGCTTTTTAACGAACATACCTTAAAACCTACGAGCATATTCTGATTTCATTATATGTTAATTAACAACCTGTATGCTGTAATTTGTCTTAACTTTGGCCAAGATTTATTATTCGGACCTTAAACTGAAAGTAATCGCTATTTTTCAATAGTTAGAAATAAAGTTAATTAATTATAGCATATTGCGATATCTACTTTTTAAGATGATATTTGTATAGTAAATGCTTAGACAAAAATCACGCGTCTGCTGGTCGGTGTCGACTCAAAGTCGGTGGCACCGACAGCGAGCAGCGACGTAGGGCGGCATTCGGCACTCGGCATGGGCACACATGCGGAGCTTTATTTAGGCGGCGGCGGGAACGCCGGCGTCTCGCGACCCGCCGCCGCCGCCGATCAATACCCCCGTTGCGCCGCCGCGCGACGTTTCGGGAGCCAATCTCGACTGTATGCGCTTTCCTTCACGACACACCATCAAATATTAACGTACTCGTATCACTTTGCTAAAGCTCACGCTTTTTCAGACGCCAATTCATGACACACAAGCAATATGAATTTTATTTTTGCAACTTATGTTACACTTATTTGATCCTACCACAGATTACCGGGTTTCAAAAAATTCGGATACAAATAATGAAATTTTAGTGTTTTATCAAAAAAGGAAAATATGAAAAAGCGCTATGTTATTCCAGCTATTATTTTAAGTAATTCTGAAAACACACCAGGATGTAAACAAATTAAGAAAAAAACATTTTTTCACTTGATTTCAAAATCCGTTTACGTTAAATTTGCTTCATTTTTCTAAAAAAAAATGTAATGGTTGCAATAACATCGATATATACGTACTTTACGTTAGGGTTGTAAAATATCGATATCGTAGTGTTGATGGATGACGGCAACGAGCGTCAAAGACCGCACACACGGGGCGTTAAAAAGCAACTGAGTTTGAGTTGCGCGGCGCGCGCGCGTATCGAGCGCACGCAGGCCGCCGCCCCCGCCGCCCTCACCACCCCGCCGTCGCCGCCCCGCTTGTGCCACCCCGTCCCTGCTACAGGAGCATGCATCGGTTCTCGCTCGGCGCCCCCTAGCTTAGCTGCACTGCTTCCCCTTTCTTCTCGACTTTATTTCGCGACAGGCGATCTCCGCCAATCTCCGACACACGCGATGTAATATAACAAGAGAAACAGACGACTTATCAACGTCTCCTTTGAGCTTTAGTGTTAGTACCCTAGATTAAACACTTTCCTGCTAATTATGTTTTATGCAATATATTGGTATGGTAGATTGCATGTGCATGTGTTCCTTTAAACACTAAATTAGCTAAATCTGAATTTAGAAAAATGTCAAAATACATAACTCTTAACATGATGTGGACAGTATTTAGTAATTTTTTTAGTACCATTTAATTGAAAAAGCATTATTCACTTATTTCAATATAATTTATAAAAATAAATCATTAACCAACAAACGTCAGATAGATTAAAAATTTTCTTTTAGGAAAAAAAAATCCACATGAATAGATAATTACATCAAATGATTCCGGGTTCGAATTCACCATTTTTATTTATTAATCAACTTTAATTTTGCATAAAACATTTGATTTTATAATGTTAACTAGATATATTCTTAATTGTTAATGAGGCTTTCTCCCTACAGTAGGATCCACCCGTTACAATATAGAGGCACTTTAGCCTTTGCAAAGTTATGGTAACATGCAAGGGATTGTGAAGGTTTATCTATAACTAATATTGTAAAGGAAAGATCTCTATTTTTGTAGGTATTGATATAACTCAAATGACTGGGCCGATTTTAAAATATCATTCACCATTAGATAGGTAATTTCTCTGTAATATGGGTTATATTTTTTAATTTCACGGGGGCGAAGTCGCTAGCAACTAAGTTTCAATGCAAACTATTGCAATTAATCTTATTAATTAGTTTGTGTTAAAAAAATGTCAATAGGTACTTTATAGTTTCTTATAAAATAATAAAACAACATATTAGAAACAATTTTTATAATGAAACAGTAAGTTAGACTAGTATAAAAATAGCAAAAGCTACTGCACTGATCAAGTCCATTTGTGACTTACAAAATTTTTAATAAATACTCTATCGCTATACATATTATGATGTTAACAAGCTAAGAAAGTGATTACATTAACAGGCATTTTGCACGATGTGCGGCAACAGTAGCAATTAATATAGTTTGTGCTAAATATTAGATGTAAACTGCTTTGCTACAGATGCACTATCACTATTGCCCTTGTATCTGATTTCTTTGATTGTCAATTGTTTTCCTTGATGAATCCTCTGCAAATGACTTCGCATATCATAGGATCTTGAAAATGATCTGTGACACACGGGACACTGCGTTTTACCCGCATGCGAGTCTTTATGTAGAGTCAGCGATGTTGGATGTTTGAAGCCTTTTGGACATAACTGGCACCTGAATTTTGCTAACTCAGAGTCTGAAACAGTTTTTAAAAAGTAGATTAGATAGAGGCTTGGATAACTATTTTTCTCTAAGGAATATAATTTTTTAGGAGTTATGTAATTTACATTAAACTGGATTAACAATTTTGTTAAATATGTGATCAAAGGTTGTTTTATCCAATTTCCTGTTTGGGGAAAATTAATGGATATGTATATTGATATATACCAATAAAATAAAACCTGCTAAGATAGATAAATATATACAAATCACATTATTAGCGAAGACTTAACCTATACATCTGTAAATAACCTCTCATTATACAAACCATTATTTTTCTCTGAAAGGTCCTCAGCAGACGTAGATTGTGTATCAACTTGCATCTCTTCACTTTGTAACAAAGCTCCGCGGGTCCTTGAGCTTGTACTTTCTTCAGATGTAACTTTTTCTGTCTGCGATTCAGTCTCTACAATAATATCATGTGAATTTTTCTGCATGTTTGCATCTGGAATGTTTTCATCCCTATTACTCTGTACTGTGGCAAGATTAATTGGTTCATCGGTTTGTATTGGTACCACATCTTCATTTGTTCTGCTTGACTTTGAACTTAAGTCTAATGACGTATTATCAATTAACATTATAGGAGTTTTAGATGTTTCCTCTTCTGCATTATCAGTCAGACCTTTTACCTCTAGTAACTCGGCTGTTATAAGAAAAGATTCCAATTGTTCCTGAAATATGTTAACTTCACCATGATACATAAAATTGATTATTGCGTTAAGATCATCGAACTTGACATTCCTAAATATAATCACAGGGTGCTGACACGGATTTTCTTTGAAAATTTGTTTAAAATAATTACTACAAGCAGACAATAACATTTTGTGAGCCCTGATTTTGCCACCATCACAGCATAACGTGACATCCACTAAATCATTCGAAAACCTTAGTTCGTTGAATGCTTCCGTGACATGAGACACATAGTTATTCCACCGTAAAGAAAATTGCGATGCATTATTCATTATTTTATCAATAAATTCACTCAAACTTAAAAATAATTCATTAAAAATTCTGATAACAACAAGACCTGAAGTGGAACCAAAGACCAAACCAAAAAGTTAGTTATCCACTGACATTTCTGACCTGACGGAAGAACAGAAACAGATTACTAAATTCTTAGTAAACTGCCATTGTGAATCTTTATCTTTAAAAATTGTGGATTCGTGATAATAATAGCTTCACCCAGTAGCCAGCGTACAACAAGCTATAATATATACCTAAACCATAAAATAATCTGAATTTCAGGGCCTTGAAACATCTAACAGTCACTGAAAATCCGAGACAGAAAAGAAAATGAAAAATTCTCATTCCCATTTATATATTCTGTATACACTGCATAGACAATGATCTAAGAAAAAACATGACGTTGTCATGATGACAGAGATTGACAATGACATTGTTATGATCTTTGGTGATGATGGTGATGGTTAGTGATGGGACTCGAGTGATTTTTTTTCACTCGAGTCACTCGGTACTTGTAACTATCTCACTCGAATGCCACTCGAGTGAAGATAAGACTCGAGTGATGTTTATAGACGCGAGTCACTCGGAATATAAAAATCGAGTAATCAAAATTTAAAAACAAATAAAAAAATGTTAATTTAGCATAAAGAAATTATTTTCGCATAAACGTAAAAGTTACTCAAAAAATCTGTACAAAATGTGTAAAAATAGTGTTTTCCTTTAAACTAAACCTGTCTACATAATCAAGAAGCCTCTTATATCAACTATTAGTTGAAATTTTATAGTGTACTACTAATAAGTTCTAATCTAATTAAATTTTAATAAATTCTTACAAGTAATTTTCATGAGATCCAAATATGAACAGTTTGATTATGTTCTTACATAATTTTGATAATAAACATGCTTTAAAATTAACTTAAACGAAGCTTAAATAAACTCTACGAAAGAACAGAAATAGTGTGTTTTAAAAAGATAACAAATTTAACTGAAAATGCTGTAAAAATTTCTTACTCTACTTAGTATAAACCAACAAAATGGTCACGAGTCATTTGTAATTCGAGTCAACTCGAGTCACTCGCAACTCGGGTTGTCAAAAATTTCACTCGAGTCCGAGTAAGAAAAAAATGACTCGAGTCACTCGAGTAAAAAGCAACTCGAGTCCCATCACTAGTGATGGTGATGAAATGGAAACTATACACGCCCACAAACGCACCTAAACGTTTATATTGAAGTTTAATGAACATTTTACATACTTTTACAATAATCTCCGGTTTTTCCTTCTTTTCTTAAACACTTACTGACGAATACTATTAATACTTGCAATATATATACTCCATTATTTTGAAATCGTTATTTTTAACAAAAGAAAAAAAAAACAGAAGTAAGAAAAAGTACAGTAGTGTTAAGTGTAAATATACTCTATCAAAATGGTACTAGCATATTTATTAAATTGAAATTTTGTAGGTTATACACGTAAGAAATATTTAAAAAAATAACACTTAATTTCAGCACGGCAGAGTAAAAGTACGAACAACTGAAGAGGAAAAGGCAAGAATAGAAAAGGAAAGGCAAGAAAAAGTTAAAGTTTTTAAAAAGTTAATGCTAAAAATACAAGATAAGGTAATTATTACTTTGCACTTCACTCTTTAACAGTGAACTTGCCAGTCAAGTTAGTTAAAATTGGCTATAAAATCTTGTTATTTTTAATGATAATTAATGTGTAATATATTAATTATTAGTGTCTTAATATCATTTTATTTTCCAGAGGAAAGAAAATGAACTTGACACAGAGTTACTCGAGCTTACAGGCAAGGTTTTAATGTCTAACCCTGATATAAATACACTATGGAATATAAGGAGAGAAATATTTCTTCACACCAGGTAACATCATTTACAATTAATAAAAAAAAACAAGAAGTAAAACTCACCATTAAAAGATAATTAAGTTTGTTCTGATATAGTAACTAAATTGTCTTCATTGTACACAACATTATTAAAAATAAAACAGCAATTACCATAGTTAAATTTATTTCTGGAATATCACTAATGTAATAAAAGATATTTATTACTCAATAATTGATTTTATTATATTAAATTAGTTATCATTGAATTATTTTATGGATTTTCAGAAAAGATTATTCTGAGGAAGATTTGAAAAAAATGTATGATGATGAATTAAGCCTTACAGAGTATTGTTTGAAAAAAAATCCTAAATCATATTGTGCATGGCATCAACGGATGTGGGTGTTAACAACAAGATCAGATCCCGATTGGAAGAATGAACTTGATTTATGTAATACATATCTTAAACTTGATGAAAGAAATTGTAAGTACTATTAAAATCAATTTAACTCAACACAATCAGTGCCACCAACATACATATATTAACACTAGCTGTTGCTTGCGACTTCGTCCGCATTAAATTAAAAAAAATGTAAATGGCCTATGTTACTCACTGATAGCTTTTTAATGGTGAAAGAATTTTTAAAATTGGCCCATTAGTTTTTGTGTTATTTCTATATATACAAAAATAGAAATCTTTCCTGTTTTTAATATTAGTGTTAGCATACATATAAATAGTAATTGGATGTGTTAAGTTTTTAGCTATACATAACCTAGTTAAATTTTCTTTTACCTGTATATAATTCAAAAAGCAATTTCTTTGTAATTAACTTATTAAAACTTTCGTGAGACATTATACTATATTATTTATAACACGGCTAAAACTCACGTGGGAACTTTCGGTGTAGGCACCGACCAGTTTCAAACCCGTAGGGGTCTTTCTTCAGGGTGAGTGGATGCCGGCTTTATTCGCTATCGCGTCGCGACGGTAACTCAATTCCTTTGTGTTGCCATACAATATTTTCATCTTATCTATGAATGTAATTAATAGAATATTATTTTAAAAAGCTCAATTAACATGTTTTTCCAGTTCATACTTGGAATTACCGTCGCTTTGTTGTGGGCCAGTGTAAACCTCCATTGCAAGATGAATTTGATTACACTACAGAGAAATTACTTGATAATTTCTCTAATTACTCCGCTTGGCATTACAGAAGCAAAATGCTGTTACAATTATATCCAGATGTTGAAGGTAATTGATAATGCAAATACTTTTTAATTAAAAAAAATTGGTTGTCTTAAAATCAGGTTGCAAATGATAATTTCATATGATTACATCACAAGCTGAACACTGGCTGATTATGCCTCTCGCTTTTTCTGCGGTCTCACTCGCACACTCTGTTTAAGAATGTGACAATGAGTAATGCTTCATTGGACATGCAACCGGCTGTCTCCGATTTATAAGATTTCCCGACATCAATATTAGATCTTAATTTAAGTTTTTTTTTTTATATTTATAGGAGGGCGTCCAATACAAGATATACATCATAAGCATGAATTGAAAATGGTGATAAATGCAGCATTCACTGACCCCGATGACACTAGTGCTTGGTTTTATCAAAGATGGTTATTAGGTATTACTATGCTATTTGCTACCACTGGCTTTAAATTCATTTAGAATCAGAATTATTTATAATAATTACCAATATACTGCTAATCTTAGTAATTTTAATGTGAAAGTTTAGATGGATGGATATTTGTTAGTTTGTAGCCTAAACTGCTGAATAGATCTCTATGAAATATAGCATTGATGTAGAGTATAGTCTGGAAGAACATAGACTAACCCTTTTTTTAATCAATCCATGTAGACGGAATCGCGGGCGAAAGCTAGTTCATGTATAAAAATATGTAATTTTACCTCAAAAGCTGGCAACACTAGTTCCTGTGGTATTACTGGTGTTCACGGGTGCTTAGATGCTTAGATCACATGGTTTTCCTGCCTTGTTTCTTTTATAAACTGAAGAATCCATAATCAGTTTGTCAATAAACTTATAATTTTCGTTTTAAGGTGCTGTGAAAACTAGCATAAACCTAGTTGCGTGTACTATGACTGAATCTAAAATAACTGTTGCATTTAGCAAACCTGTTCCACTGGACTATGTACAATCAAGTACACAAATTTTTATTAATAATAATGTTTTAAATGGTGAATGGGTTTCTTGTTGTGGATACCAATATGATAGTTTATGGATTTTAAAACATAAAGTGGATTTAATAACTGATACAGATGTCAAGGTAAACATCATCATAATCATATTATACTATACTAACGTAATGGGGAAACTTTGTATTTTTGTATATATTGAAATAACTCAATAACTATCGGGGCGATTGAAAAATTGTTTTTTTAACTGTTAGAAAGGTAATTTATCTGTGAGTAACATTTTTTTTAATATCACGCGGGCTAAGTCGCGAGCAACAGCTAGTATGTTATAAATCTATATCATACTTATTTTGTAAATGCGAATGTATGGATGTTTGTTACTACGAACCACAAAAACGGCTTCACAAATTTTGATGAAAATTTGTATGATGTAAAACATAACCTAGAAGAACTCATAGACATAAAGCTTGCTTACTTTTTTTAAATTCCGTGCTGACAGAGTCGCGGGCAAATCTAGTACAGATTAAATAAATGTGTGTATCAAATTGTTTTACAGGCGGAATATGAAAATGAAAATAAAGAACGAATAGTCATTAAATGTATGAAATATAAGGATAATTTGTATATTGGTAAAGGTAAAGTCAGCTTTGAAAATAAATACTCGCAGCCTGTCATTGAAGAATTAAATGACCAACTTAAATCATGTCGACAACTGCTTGTATTAGAACCGGACAATAAGTGTAAGTTTGTTTATGTTATATATCTCTATGTAAAGTAGGTGTTTTAACTGCCATATTGTGACAGCTTGCGTTCAGAAACTAAGATAAATATTTTTAACACCTAATATAAGCAAAAAATACTGTGTTTGAGTTACCGTTTAGAAATTATGTAAGGACAAGTACACTGATGAATAAATACATCATCATGCATTTAAGGGTTAATACTTTGTTTTAGACCAAAAAAAGACAATGATTCCGTTTTTGTACTAGCTCCAACATAAAACCATCAATTTAGATTATATCAATTAAAATTTGGACTGTAATAAAATAACAATATAGAGCTATAAGATTTTTTAGTCTTATCCAGAAACTAACAGGAAAATGTTACGGCCGAATACTGAAACGATATTTAAAAATGGTGTCGTAGCTCATCTTATTTAACGCCACATTTAAACTTCAAATTCCATTAACATTTTCACACCCGACTGATTTGTGTCAGAATCCGTCCTTTGTTATATTGAACTTTTGATGAGAAAATGGCATTTTTATTATACAGCTGGTTTGATAATATCATTCTATTTTCAGGGACTCTTTTAACAACTACTGTATTTTTGCATTGCATTGATGCAAAGTTGAATCATAAAGAAGCAATAAATAATTTACAAATTTTACAAAAGTTGGATTATCAACGGGCCGGATATTATAATGATTTGATATCTAAGTGGTGTATAGAAGAACAATTGCCCATAGATTATAGCTCAAATTGTCTGCTATTCAAACCAAAGATGTCTGACAAACTCACCTGCCTACCCCACTTGCAGTATTACAGCTTTTGCGAAGAAATTGATCTATCAAACCAAAATTTGTGCTCAAAAGTGTTACCCTCATTAATATTACTTCAACATTGTAAGGTACTGTTTCTAAATAATTATTTGAAATATTTATTTGTTGAAAAGTTATATGCATTGCTAAGAAAAAAATTGTAAAGTGGTAAGTTTTTTTTTAATAATTCTTGGTGTGTATTTAAAGTTTTCTTTTTCAGGTCTTGATTTTAAGAAACAATAAACTGAACACGTTAAAAGGGTTTCCGAATATTGAATTGGAAAAATTAGACTTACAAGACAATGGGATCAATGTTGAAGAAGTGGAACAATTTAAAAAGGATCATAAATTTGTTGTAATATTTTAACTGTATTGTATATTGCGACGCCTAATACACCAAATATTACAAAGGATTGTAAAATTGGTTATGGAATTGATACTTTAAGATTAAAAACACAAGACAAAATTAAGTAGTGGGTCTACGGCCTTACACGATGCTTTCAATAAGTGACAATTGTTTAGCTTTATTAGTATATAAAATTCAACAGTTTGATTATTTTCGCTATATTACCAGATGTTAATATTTCAAAGCATTGAGTGTTAATATTTTACTGTTTACTATTTATGCATAATAGTAACACTGGCTGTTTGGTTAATTTAGTTTTTATATGAATTTTTGTCATAATTACGCACTAATGCAATAAACTATATGAAAAAAAAACTTTATTTTTGGAATCATACTCGTCGGACAGTAAGTATGGCGTAGTTTTTTTATGTTTAGTTTTAGAAGATTAAAATTAAACTGCATGAAGGCTGCACAAATAATTTTATTTGTCATAATCTAAGCTAAAAGTATAACTTAAATAAAAATATAGTTTAATAATTAAATAATGTAACAATAAAAAAAAGATTTTTATAAAAAGTCAATAACGATATAATACGATGTATCGAACTAGTCAAAACTTATAAACACTAAGCATATTCAATATTCTATTGTTGCTAAGGTAACAATTTAGATAATCCGTTGCTAAAAAATTCAATCACACCTCAATCATTTTAATATTTACACCATGGTATGCTAACAAACGATGTTCCAATCAAACGTAATGTAATTTAACAAAAAAGAATACTAACATTAAAAAATATTTTGCTGCCTCAACAAAAGATTGTTGCTGATTTGTTTTTGCTTGATTATGTCCTTTTCAACAAAACACGACTACATCTACCGTTTCTGTATTAATATTTGATGCATAAAAAATAATCGTAAAGTTTATGCACTAAAACTAAATATTTTCTTGCAAATTTTTTTGTTATAATTTCAATTAATTCTCTTAATTTTTTTATCTTAAACTATTTCTGGTATTTGTACCCTTAATTATATCGTTTCTGTTGTACAATGATACAAAATATATTATTAGAACATCAGTTATTGCTTTATTGCAGGTTTTTAAATACATTATTTGTAAAAATCTGTATTTGTGAAGATTTAATGATAAGAATTAAGAATTTAAATAAAACCAACTTAACAAAAAAATACTGTTACCATATTAATTAAAAATTGGAAATTTAGTGATTACTTATTTTGTTGTTTAATACATTATTCAAAAAATGAACTGCTATAACTACACAAGCTATCTTTTTCATCTTTCCTTACACATTTGCAACTTTAAAATCTACATTTTTCAAATACAAGTGTTGCCAGCATAAAGTAACATTAATTTATTACTTGTGTAAATGTGCTAAAGCAATTGTGATTGACTTTTCACATACAAAGTAATACAGTCAATTCAATTAATTTTTAAATACCACAACTCTATTATAAGAGTTCACATGATATTTTTCAGTTTGTACCATTAAACATCACTTAGTATTCACTTAAGACTATTATTAGCAACAGACATTACTGTTTTGTACATATCATCACCATCCCAAAATAACCTACCGCATGAATTACAAATAGTTGCAGCTTGAGGTGATTGACAGAGATTTTGGACATTTTGGATTTGAAGGTGCATTCCAGTACTTGTAACACATACATTACGAGTGGGTGTACTAACAATGTCATCATCACCTTCTGAATCACTCAGAAATCTATCACATTTTTCATAATAATCATCTTCAGTAGGAGCAGTATAATTAACATTATTTGATACACTACTAACATTCCAATATTGTTTACATAATTCACTCACCTTCTCAGAAGTCAATTGTTCTAAATCAGAGGCATTACAATTTATGCATCTTTTAGTAAGATCACTTTCCTTTATCTGTATGTTAAAATAATTTTTGATTTCTTGAAGCATCTCTAGAGTGACATAACCTGTACCAACATTTAAAATAGAACTTTGGGGGTAATTTTTTATCGGAGTGAACTTCAGTTTAGCCAATAAAATATAGCGATTCTCAGACATAGCTTGATTAATTATATCATGCCATAACAATGTATCTGGCATAAGTAGTGTGTCAATTCCATAACATCTCAAGTATGGAATGTAATTAATTAATTTGCTTTCTACAAAAAACTTAACATCATCAACTGTTTTTACTTGTACAGGAGAACTAGTAGCAGTTTTTTCTGGACATTTAGGTTTAACAGTTTTGGTCTTCTTATCTATCATTGTATCATTACATATTTCTTCAAAATTTATATTTTGTTCAATACATTTCTCTTGTAAGAACTTATATAGTTCAACAAGAACATGTGCATCAATAGCAGCATATTGAATTTGTGTTTTACGTAAAGGTCTAATTTCCCAGTTGGAACGCTGTTCCGATTTACGTAAAGGATAACCAAAACATACTTCCACTAAAGAACTCAGACTGTTACCAAAATTACCACTACTACTTTGCAAACTTAAACCGGAACTTATGAGATTTTTCCATAATGTTGATAAATCAAGTAAACCTTCACCTTTTACTTTAATATTACTTAAACCTACAACAGAACCTTTAATTTGTTTCAGATCTTGTTCCAAACCAAAACCTAATTTTATGATTTCAGCATTATCTAGCAGTGATTTATTGAAATCATGCCAGAAACTTATATACTGTGGCTTATTAAGTGACAATGTGTCTATTAAATACACATAGTTTTCAACAGCAATTTGTATCAGTGCTACTTGTGATTGTGCAGCACCAAAAGATGGCTTCCACTCACTATCAATACTGACCAAATTACAGTTAGCTAAATGTGTATTTGTTAAGTCATAAAACATTTCAGGTGTATTTATGATTATAATTCTATCTGCTGGTAAGGATATTTCATAAAAGTTTTGATTTATGTTTTCATCACCATCATCCCAATTCTCGTTTTCTGGGGAGACTGTATTTAAAGACATCTTTTTAAGTAAATATGGTAGCTCACTCTCCGGTAAGTTGAAGAATTGGGACCACTTTGCAGCCTCTTTTCTATCATGATTTACTATCATATAAACAAATTCTAGTGCTAACTCAGAATTTTCTTTCAGTGTATCTTTTATTAAATCATCCCATACTCTCAAACTAACATTGTGATCTACATACTTTTGATGTATTAGATATCTTAATCCACCAAGAGTACGATTTTTGCACAAATTTTTACAGGTCTCTATAGGGACATTAAATTTACTGCATAAACGTCCCACAAACTTACCAAGAGGTTTATGATGTAATTTTTCATAGTTAACACAAGTGATATTGTAATCAAAAATGTATCTTTGTACAAGGTCACGAATAGCAACATTTTTATCCAAGATCTTATCCAAAAAAAGTACTAATGGTAGCACTTGTTTTGGACACTCTGATAGATATTCAACAATCATGTTATATTTGTCCTGGATTATGAGTGGAAAAAGTAAATCTTCAACTGGTATGTCTTCATACAACTCCATTGCTAAAACAACTTGAGAAGCTTGTTTACAATTGTCATTTTTTAACATGTCTTTTACAAGGGGTAATATTGTTTCCTTTATTGTTACAATTTTATATGTTTTAACAACTAAGTTAAGGTACTGCTGATTCCTTTGCTCTGTAGCAATTCGGAATGCGGGAAATTTTAAGCAATCTTCAGGGGAAGTGTCACTTTTACTAGACCATTTATATAAAATTTCCATTATGAAGAATGGGAGTGTTTTAGGCTTACAATCTTTGGACTCTTTACATTTTGCAACAAAAACAAGTGCTATTCTATACCGATCTGGGTTCGTCTCAAAAAACACTTGTAAGTGATGTTCAAGATTGGGAGATCTTTTCCATGTTAGCCAAGTAATTGTCAGTTGATTAAACCAAGCTTGTACATTTTCGTCGAGTTGTGTGTTGAGTCCGATAGTATTTAACGTGTCTTCTAGTGTAGGAACAATTTTCATAGATCGATTGGTGGAGAGAGAATTAGTATTCATTTTTGATTTTCACGCAATTTTTCACTTAACAAAACACCATAATCTCGTACTTTTTAATAGCAAGTATTTCACCATATCAGTTTTAACAATTCATATGGGGAATTCAAATTATAAATATTGATTTAAAACTGTTAAATATAAACAACAATAACAATGATAAACGACAAGTTTTGCCTGGTTTTGCAATTTTGCGTTGTTTTTCAAAGAGTATATAAGTTGTGTCAGTGTCAACTTGACTCCAAAACCGTAGAGTATATCAGGGCGGTCCAATTAAATGAAATAAATATTTAATAATTTAATACATTCATGAATTATAATTAACTTTATTTCATGATTCATGAACATGAATTATTATCAAAAGATTTCTGTAAGTTTCAGAGTATTTTAGAAAATGAAATTCGAATGTCTAGAAAGGTCTTTGCCTTTTAACAACTGAAATTGAATGACAATGTAAATTTTTGACATTCGTTTGGAGTTTGGTGTTTTTGGAGAGATTTGTAATTAGTCTAATTCGTCGGTTTTCGTGTTGCGTTTTTAGTTGTAAAGGTGTTTTTAAACAAAGTTGAAGAATAAATAACCCTCATTTAAATTGATAAAGCTTTGCATTTGTAATAATTTACTTTAACAATGGAGCTGTCTGCAGAGGGCAAAACCCCGGAGTATATGGCTCTTGCGGGCATAAAATTCAAGCTTTCTTTGCCACAATTTAAAGATAATCCTCAGTTAAAAGAGCAGTTGTTTGAGGGTATTAAAGCTGGTAATATGGCACCATATTACAAAGAAGTATGTACAGATTTAGGGTGGCCATTGGACCAAAATTTATATGATGAGATGGCAAAAGAGAATCTTAGTAGGCTGTCAAAATTTGAAGAAGACGATTCGGAAACTCCAGTATGGCAAGATCGGTAATTTCATAAAAGTTGCATAAAATTTGCTATTTTTTTATGAAATTGAGCAATTTAAGTTTACACTTCTTTGTTACAGGTTAGACTATTTGTGTTCTATTGGCGATAAAGAAGCCGCGACAGCTTTGGCGACAACAAAGTATGAAGACTCCACTTTGACTACAAACAGAAGATTAGATGCCATCTTTGCTCTATTCCGGATTGCTTACTTTCATGGTTGTAATGTAAAAGACATGGGAAAAGCTATAAACAAGGTACTAAAATTAATTATTTAACTAGAAAGTAAAAAAGGGAACAAAACACCTGACAAGTCTTGATCAGAAAAACAATGACACTTTCTCTAGAAGTGGCTACAATGTATATATTTTTTTTATTTCCAGGCTCATGAATTAGTAGACAAAGGTGGAGATTGGCGATCAAGGAACAAGCTGAAGGCATATGAGGCTATTTACTGCCTTGCAGTAAGGGACTATAGTCATGCAGCTGATTTGTTCATTGATTGTGTGTCTACATTCGAATCATACGAGTTGGTTGATTTTGGTAAGGCTTTTTATTAACTTTGATAACCAATTTAAGATTTATAACTAAATTGCTACATTTTCTAAAAATATATTATGGTTTTTCTTACTTACTGGTTGTTTCTTAATTACCGGTGCAATACCACAGCCACACAGAAGTAGGAGCAAGTCCACGTTTCGTCTGATTAATGTGGATGCTGGAGTGTTTTCCACCTTTTCTTATAAGGAATGATGGAAAAGGGATTTAATGGTGGAGATACATGGGAATGGTAAATATTGTTTTTATTTGCATCTTCTCTGTAGACTAAGGGTAGGTAATGCATCTGCAATTGTGGATGTCTGTGGCTATGCCATTTTGGCAAATATAGGTGGCTGCTTGGATAAAAAAAAATTGTATTCTCTTGTTATTGTATGTATTTATTTAATAAGTTAAATTTATGAATCTTTTGTTTTCAGGTACAATTATTCAGTACTGCGTCCTTGCTTGTGCTTTGGCGTTGGAACGGCATGCTCTTCAGGCGGCGCTCCGTAGGCAAGGGGCGGCAGTGCAGGCCCTGAGGTCCAGGTTCCCCGAGCTACGGGAACTTGTTGAATCTCTACACGAGTGTCGTTATGCTGACTTCTTGAAAAGTCTTGCTTGGGTAAACCACTATTTTAATGTCATGTTTCTAGATATACTAGATTTGCTGGTGCAACAACCCAAACATCATCTTGGCTTCAAACTCAAGCAATCTAGACACTGTGACTTGTGTGACTGTTATGAAGGCATTTGTTAATTAAATTAATATGTCTGATGATATTGGATGGATGAATTGTTGTTTGTTAGAAGGTATCTCAGGAACGGCTCAACAGAACCCAATGAAATATAACATAGATGTCGAACATAGTTTAGAAGGACACATAGATTACTTACTTTTGTTATTTTTTTAGTAATCCATTGTTTGTATGACATTGTATTGGTTTTACTGGTTTTACTTAACCAAAACGACTGTTTTGGTTGGGGTAAATGTTTTAAGCATGTTGTTGCAGGTGGAGACGCAGATCTGCGTGGACCCGGTGTTCCGGCCGCACTACCAGCACTACGTGCGCGAGGCGCGCCTCAAGGCGTACGTGCAGCTGCTGCGCGCCTACCGCTCGCTCAGCCTCGACAACATCGCTGACACCTTCGGCGTCTCCAGGGAGTTCGTCGAGGAGGAAATTTCCACGTAACTAAACTAAAACGCTTAATTCCTTTGTTTTCATAGTGTAAGGTGGCAAACTAAAAAGCGACTATAATATGCCAAAATAAGGAAGTGATCAACACTTGTGTCCTATGTTTTCTTCCAGACACATTTATATCTATGCCAAATTTTATCGAGATCCTTTCAGCCGTTTCGGTTACAAACTCTAACAAACATCCACCGTGAGTACGGTGGATGTTTGACACTAAGTATATGATAAAATGGGTCAAACTGGTTCAAATAGGGTTCAATCGGTCAAAACAGGGTCCAATTTTCTGCCCCGTACAGCCGCGTTCTAGAACGGTCTGTCCTCGGCGGTATTTCCAAACCAATACGACTTACGGTCCTTCAAGAAGCGAGCCTACAATTTCCTCAAAGGCCGGCAACGCATCTGTAGTTCCTCTGGTGTTGTGGATGTCCGTGATCGTCGTTGGTCCCCTCTGTGTTCCCGCCGCTCATTTACCCCCTTCTCATATAAAAAAATGGTCTAAACACGGTTGAAACGTGTGGTTTGTGTTAGGTTTACAGCGGCGGGGGGGCTGCAGTGCCGCATCGACGCGGTGGCGGGGTGCGTGGTGACGGGCGCGGGGCGCGGCGCCGACGCCGACCGCTCGCACCTCTACCAGGCCACCATCCGCGAGGGCGACCTGCTGCTCAACAGGGTCAAGAAACTCGCAAGCGTTATCAACTTTTAAATAGCCGTGTATTGCTTTATTAGAATTGTGTCGATATTTCATTGGCTAAAATTGTAATTTTTACGAATTAAATGATTCAAACTATATAAAAAAAAATGTTTTTCAAACTCCGGAGAAAACATTCCAGAATTTTCTAATTTACTTATGCTGGGTTGCTGGAGTTTTCATTCTTTTTAACATTACCTACTAATTCATTAGTATTAAGTTTCGACGGAGTCGATGATTTTACTACTTGCTTTAGTTACGTCGTGTAGAAACTCATTTTTGAAGTTATCTAACCAAAAACACTTACGAATGGAGAAAAGTCGCTAGGATCATGTAATTAATATTGTGTTTTCGATAATTTCATTGAATTCCGGTTATTATTTAAAAACCATAATGTTAAGAGCGGGCGCACACTTTTGACTAAACCGCACAAGTTGTCCGATATTCGATTGTTTCGTAACCAATTGTACTGTTTAGTTGCACAACTAAAATCGAGTAGTGTGCTCACCTCCATAAAAGCTCATAGAAATCAAAGCGAGACCAAACGGTTGTACGATAATTTAGTCAAAGGTGTGCACACGTTCTTAATCTTTAATTTCTTCATCATTAAATGCGAAAAATTGTAAAATAAAAGGGAAGGTAAGGCAAAAGGATAACAAAAAAGAAAAGAATTAGTAGTATAATTGTTTTTTTAAATAATTTGAATACTTTTTGGACATTTACATAAACATTTAATAATTTACAATGATTATTTATAGTGACATGACATGACACATCGTATTGATGGCTAAGGCTACTCTAGGCTATTTGCAACTTGTAAATCAATAACTCGTAGGTGCTATGAGAATTTAATCTAGACAACTAAATTGTTGCGTGCGGCCTAACGCCCACAAGCGGTTCTTTAATACTAAGAGTGTATGCATGATTTACGATATAATAAATAATTTATTTAGGACATTTATACACAGATGCCTAGGAATATAAAACATTCACTTTTCATTCGTTCTGAATGAACGAAAACGAGTATAAACTTAGTTATAATATTGACAATTGTAAGCATCGATAAAATGCACATTTGGAAAAGAATGCATTTGGAAACAGTTCGATCATTCAGTCTGTTGAGACGATATTGGAAAATGATTACTAACAGTAACAAAAATCTTTCAAGTCTGTTTAAACCAGTCGCTCACATATATTACAAAGATATGTTGAAGTATTCTAAAGCATACATAATAGCTATGACTCTAAATACTTATAACTATGTAGACCTCAAATGCAAATACTTTTTTAAAATTTACATGATATGAATATGTCATTAACCTCTGTTACAATAGTTAAAAGTAGTTGAATATCTAGTGTGACATTAGCATTACCTTGATTTCTTTTAATACATCGATTTAATAAATTTGAAGTAGAATTGAACCAAACAATACATTGCATAGGTAAACAAATTTTACAATCTCTGAATTGGACTACAGTGCACATTTAGGTCGAATTATTTTCGTCTAGGAGATAAGTAAACAAGTTGGAATGTGGTATTTAAGATGAAAATCATGCATATCGCACTCCAGTTGCAATGTATAAATATAAAATTAATTATCTTTCTGCATTTAACTATTCTTTTCTTGACTACTATCATACATTTTATATACATTTAAAGTTAGATAGATTTATGAAATTAATTTTTGGGATAATTTATAATTACTTTTGATGTTGTATAGCACATGCGGCCGGCGAGGGCGCGCGGCCGCGGCTGTGCGCTATCACAGAGTAATGACATAAACGTGGGACTCAACGAGCCCCCGATTGCCCCAGGCCCGTACTCGTGCGTATAACTTACTTATATTAATACTAGGCGTTATAACACGTGGAATAACAACTCGTTACATGGCGCTACGAACGGCACATCTTACGCTAACCACCGACACGCTTCTCGTGTCGTTGCTTTATCAGTCCTCATTTCGATTTAGTGCTACATCTTTGTACATAAATATGGACGCGTCGCTCGTCGATCCACCCGCATTCGGCAGTCGCAACTTCGCACCGCTTTTCTCGCCAGATTCGCACTCGATATCATTGACGTTGGATTAAAATGGAATGTGCAACAAATTTCAAATTTTCTCATTTAAACTGTGAGTCCTTCGGTGCGCGCGGGCGGTGGCAGGGAGGCGAGCGAGTGCGGGTGCGGGTGGTGCGGCGCGGGCGGCGAGGGCTGCGCGGCGGGCGGCTGCAGCGGGGCGTGCGCGTGTGCGCCGGGCGAGCGGTAGTGCTCACCGTCGTCGCGCATTTGCCGGCTGCGCTCAGCAAGCTCGCGACCGCGTTCCGCCAGCTCGCGCATCGCCGCCTGCCGCTCGTCGCCGCCCTCCAGCGAGGGCGGCCTCTCGAGCGGAGATGCAGCTCCCGGCCGCACGCCGCCGAACGCACCGAACCCGAGCAATCCGGGGAACTTGCCGGCGACGCCGTTCTGCCCGGCGCTCTGCTGGATCACTGATATCTCGTTCAGCTGTAAACAAACCCCTATCATTAAGATTGATTTTTGCCAAAGAAATAAATCTTGTATTCATTTTATTCCAAGTAAACGTAATATTATCAAAAGTAGAATGTACCTTCTGCTGCATGCCGTTGAGGAATGGCGCGTGTAGATAGGGATAGAAGAGGTCGGGGCGGCGCAGCAGGTCGTGCGGCTCGGCCAGCGGGCGCGGCGGCAGCTCCAGCGACATGCGCCGGCCGCGCCGCGACGCTCCGCCACTCCACATGTGCGTGCCCATGTGCACCTGCGATACACATTACATATTACACATATACACGCTGTTTATTTGACAGAATATTATGTATGTCTAATGTACCAAAAACAAACAACATAGAAATTAAGTGACTTTTTTATTTAAGCAATGTGTACCTTAAGATTTCCTTTGGTAGTGAAGGCCTTCTGGCAGACGGCGCAGCGGAATGGCTTGTCGCCGGTGTGCGTGCGCATGTGTATCTGCAGCGCGGACGACGACGAGAAGTTCTTGCGGCACACGCCACAAAGGTGCTTCGACGACGCGGACGGCGGAGGATGTGTTGGCGTGCTCGATACTATTAATACAGATACTTCGATCAGTTTCTATACACATGTACAAATAACTTATGTTATCTCTCTAATTTTATCTTACAAAGACAATTTATATCTGGGGCGACGTTGAACCGTTTGACGGCTACTAATAGCTGGAGATTTTTTTTTAAATAAAGCTATAAGTCGTCATGAACATAGTTTACAAGTACCCTACATGTACATGCTTTGACATACAAAATATGTTAACTCATGTAACGTATTTTTATTATTTTAGTAAATGTTTTTTCTCTTAGTAAGTGTTGCACCTGCCAATTCTGACAACAGGCACCGGTCGATTGATTACAAGACAGTATATAGTTTTTAATTTAAACTTTTTTATTCACATCACACCCTCTTTAATTACTTAAAGTACCTATAATTAAATGAAAGGTTGCAATCGAGAAGTATGGCGGCTATAGCATGACAGATTAAGCAGATTAAGGTGTGCGTTGATACTTATTCCATGTTTGTAAGCGCATGAAGCCACAAACAATTCATTTAATTAGACACTTGCATTTTCATATGGCTGTTGAACGGGTCTTTAAATTAAAAAAGATGCCTTATTCGTTTTAAGTTAATTTGGTCTTACCCGTAGGCCGTTTGGGCAGAGGAGGCATGTCGATGGGAGGGGCGTGCGTCATGGGCGGCGGAGGGTGCGCGGGCGGGGATCTTTTGAGGTCCATCTTATCGGGCGACGAGCGCCTGTCCGGACTTGGGTCCCGAGTATCTTCGTTGGGTCCCGCGGGCCCGTTGCCTCCTTTATCGAAGCCGGGCGGCATGTCGCGGATTTTGTGCGTCAGCATGTGTTGTTTCATGTTGCCCTGCAGAAAAATAACAACATAATGAGTACACAATTTTTAAGTTTATAATTGTGTAAAATATCTGTATTAATATAACTGCTTAGCTACATTTTGCATACCTAATTAAATTATATTTCTATCAATATTTATTTAAGGTGTTTGTTCTTATTAGAAGGGAAAATACACGACTATTCTTAAATTAAGGAATAATTTCGATTAGCTGCAGTCCAAATGTTAAAATATCTACGTGTACTTTCATTTTTGTAGTTCTACGCCCTAAATGGATTAAACAGTTACGAACATGGGCGGAACAATAGAGATACCAATGAGTGTATTGATTTTAGAATTTTGTTTACAAATCGGTAATAGATTAGAGGTGTATTGGCCACCGCCCACGTCGGATCTGTTCGGTGTAGGTGTGTGAGTCCACGCGCAGGCGTCACTCTCGCATACCGGGTAGACGAAGGCGTTCCAGAGGTCCAAAGCAGTGGCGTGCGGCGGGCGGGGGGGGCGCGCGCGCCGTCCGCACTGGCAACCGCCGCCACTGCTCTGGAACCACAAAAACGCGAAAGCTTAACACACGCACCACACACACAACATACATAGCATGCGGTGTTTGTGTTCGGCGGTATATAAACTGTTAACAATATGTCACATAAATATAGTTCCAATTATTCGTTTATTACCGGAACAACAGTAATTAAATATTAGAATTACGAGTCAATGTTTATGAAAAATTTTAGATCGATACTACAGCTGTGTAACTTACAAACATTATTTAAATGGATTATGAACATAAAAATTAAAGCATAAAAGTTAAAGATAAGAGCAATTACATTCATTTCCTTTTATATAATGTTATAAAAGGTGCAAGGATAAAATATAAAAAATAATATTCCTAACTATATCAAGTTATTTACATGAATGGAACATTCGAAAAGTTTTTACATAACCATGAAACTTCTCAAGCGTATTAATACAACTAAATTGATGACATATAATTAGCTGACTAAATTTGTGAGTTATAGATAAGGCTGGTGATTTATTAATATTACAGTCGAGGTCATAACTACAACTTTACTGGGACACTGGAAGTTCGATATCTGTTAAATAGGCGATTCGTATGCGTTATTGATGTTTTTATTTATATTACTCTGCCTATATGAAATGTTTACGCAATATTAAAATTGGATATTTGTCAATATTATGATG